TCATGTACACTGCACAATTTAAACAAATGATTAACGGCGACGATAATAGAACGACTGATGTACGACGAAACAGATAATAAGAAAAAGTGTTTCCTTAGTCATTGCCGTACGCTTACGAAACACACAGGGGGTTTTATCCATATAGTTATTATCAGGGTTGAGAAAGTTACTTTATAAAAGTATCTACACTGACAAAAAAATTGTTTAAACTAAGTAGATTTACTTAAAGTAATTTTTTTATACTGACGTAAAGATTTATTCCATTTAAAGAAAAATATCAAATTTCAAGTAAATCTATGTATTATGTTAAGTAAATTAATTTAAATCATTACATTTTTACATTCAAATAAAGATTGCATGAGATATAGAATACTATTTATTAAATGAAATAATTGTTTTTGTTAAATAAGAAATCCAATTTTCTTCGCTGTGAAAATTGCATTGTTAGTAAACGTTATATATGTAGAATAAAAATAAAATTTTTTTAATGAAAAATGATCTATTCTTTGATATTTAATAAATACTTAAATTAAAGCAATGCATGATTTAATTTGTTTATTATTTTTTAAATTGAAGTTAATAAGCTATTAGGAGCCACCTAACGAATAATTTTCTTGAGTAAAGTAATATTTTTTTTATTAAGATATTTTTTTATCAGTGTAGTTACAGTTTTTTCGCTAAAAATGTAACCAGTTACAGTTACAAGTTACCAATGCTGAAAAGTAACGCGTTACTCAAAAAGTAACGAATGGTTACTTTGCAGTTACTCTCTTGCAATAAAAATTGAAATATCAAATCTGCATTTGTATTGTATTGTAATTGTATTGTAATAAAGCGTCGATAAAGGCATTTATGCGCAAAGGCACGGTGGAGAATAAAAAATTATATACAGTAGCTATTAATGTAACTATTGAATTAGTTGCTAGCCATCGAAAAAAAATATAGCCGAGGTAAGTTACAAATGGAGACGAAGTAACGAAGTTAAATACTCCCCCCCCCCCAAAAGTAATTGTAATCTCGTTACAAGTAACGCGGTACTTCCTAATCCTGATTATGTTATCATCGGCCATAATACGGTAGAATGTTTCTCTAACAATAAGATATAATACAGTCGAAAGAGATAAGTTAATTGGTTAACCGGTATTTCCTGATAATCGCATAACTATGTTTCAAGGAAAAGAACGTCCGTTCGTTGATATTTTACAAATGTGAGGAACGAGAATTATAATAATTTAACGACGTCCCTCGTCTCTCATTTTGTTTCATAAATTTTTTTAGCTTCTAATTTGCATATCCGAGAAACCAGAACGAAAAAACGGTCAATGTGCTAAAAAGTCGGATGACAGGTCGGTTACATGTGCAAACGCAAAAATATAATATCGAATGCGTTACACAACATATGTAAATGACGGATACCGTTAAGCCTATTCTACAATGTGCTCTCTGCGATTAGAAACATTCGACTTTGTATCAGCAAATCAACGCCTGGAAAACTTGTCGATAATACGCAATATTACAATGTATAATGTACAATTTTATCAGCTTGCACAATTTTTTTTAATGCTTCTATTGACCACAAAATAGATTTCTAGACGCAAAGAGCACATTGTAGACGGCCTTAAACAAATTTGTCCCTGTCGTCGAATTAACTGCGTTGTTGTTCGATTAAATGACACTAGCAATGAAATGTCGTATCTCGTAATTTTCCATCAGCGAGCGGTCAATACGCGCGCGGTGATATAAAACCGAAGAGTCAAACTCATCAAGTTGTTTTCCCAACTTCCTCGCCGTCGCGCATATCGCACGTACGGCGGGCTCAATTTTCCCACGTTCTTGCGAGTGTAATCTAGTCCACCTCCGCAAATGCATCAAAGTCCACCTCAGATGATCCACAATTCCCGTTAGAACTTTATTATGATATAAAGCTAGCGCCACACTATGCGCGATTCGTGTATTCGCGAATAGTGTGGAGGAAAAATTGGTCGATTCGCAGTGATTCGCTAGCCGAGTGATTTCTTTTTTTTTTACTAAAACTTAAAATCGACTAATTGTAGACTTACCATGCAAGTCCTGTAATAACGGGTAAAGACTAAAAGTTGTCCAAGTTAACACGAACGACAAATAATACATTACCAAGGTTGGGACAGTTACTTAGGGCCAGTTTCACAAACGTTGGTTAACTGCTGGCCTCAGGTTAATTGATTCTCTGTCTCTTCTTAAATAATAAGATAGAAAAAGAGATACGGAGTCAACTGAGCTCTGACGGTTAACTGACGTTTGTGAAACTGGCCCGTAATAAAACTATGTAGCTCCAGAATTTCTTCGAATCACGAATCGCGCAACAAGAATTGCGCGTAGTGCGGCGCTAGCTTAATGGAGTTCTAACGCGAATAATGAACCGTAACGCGCTTCTATGCGCATTGTAAGTTCTTTTCATAACATGTTATGCATCGCACGCTTGTACAATGTATGTAAAGGCCGGAATTTGCATATGCGAAAAATACGCACGAGGAGAGAAAAAGGTGGACGCGTGTAAGGAAACGACACGTCCGCATAAAAATTGATAATAGAACTCGAAATCTGATGTGAATTACACAGATCGCCCGAGGCAGATTGGACGGCGAACCGATGCGTATCTATCTTCCGCACGAAGTTGTTATTCCCCCCCGCTATCTCGATTCCTAACGACATTCCTAAATACATAACATACAAATCGATGCCTGACCTCCGAAGGCCATCGCTCGGGAATTGAAATATTCTCGTTCCTTTGGTAAAAATCTCGCCCTCGCCCACCGAGAGCGAAACTCCATCGCTCTCGGGGTGGCAAAAAGAAACCCCCGCCGGTGCTTCCGCGGAAGTACACGTTCAATATGATTTCAAATCGCGAAACTGGATCCCTTTTCAGCCCCGTCGTATCGAGCGTCACGCGCCAGGGGGAGAAAAAAAAAGTAACAACGCGACCGTCGTAGGCGGAAAACGCGGGGGAAGAAAATCGGGAGAAAGTGCAGCAGGGCTATCCAGAGGGAGGAATCTGCCATCGGCCGGGGCATCGACGTTCCAGTCGCGATTCCCGGGGGGGGATCCCGGTCGCTCGCGCAGGAGGGAGAGAGGGAGGGAGGGATTCGCAGCTGCGGGCGGACACGTGGACGCGCGGTGCTTTCTGTTCCTGGATTCCTTACCGGTAGCAGCAACGCCTGAGCGTCGAGCGGAAAGAGCGGTTTCTCGGCCGTCGGTCTGGAAGCCCAGTAAGCCACCCCGGTGACGAAGAGTGCGCCAGCCGCGCCACCCAGATACGGCAGGTAGTCTTCGAAGTGAGACTGTAACACTTCGTTTAACATCGTTTGAGCCGTTCGGGAGAGGCTGCCAAGAGAACTTACGTAATCGGCCAGTGCGACCGATACCACCTGCATAACGGCGAGTCTACTCAGGTACCCGGCGGTACGCTACTGCCGCGCGTCGCCAGACGACTTTGATCCGAGCGCGCGACGAGATCGTCCGCCACGAGTTACGACGACGTCGACCCGCGCGCGGTCCCGCAGCCAATCGACTCGACTGTATTCGCACCAAAGTTCGAACCCCATCCTCGTCCCGATGATCCGCGGACCCCGCTATCGGAGGGGCCCCGTTATCGCGCGGGCCAAAACTGCAGCGCCCGAGCTCCGCGCGGAATCGCGATAGAGCACGTACCCGACGTAGAGTCGCTCGCGTCCGTATCTCACGCGAATGACGACGAAAACGTAATAATCGCGATGCGGCGGTGCGCGAGAAGGCGCGCGATGGTGGGAGCGACGAGAGAGATAAGAGGCGATCGAGCGCGCGAGATACCGGCGCGCGCGGCCGCGTGGCTCCGCCGCGCGCTTCGCCCGAGCAAGGTCGATAAAAGCGAATAGCGTGTACTCACTGGCGTGGGGAGAGAAGCAGATGCAGGCCCCGCTGCGGTTTCCCGCGCGACGGACACGGCGACGTCGGGACGCGCGACGTCGGATCCCGAGGTACCGAGAGCGAGGGACGGCGCACCAGGGTGGTCGGCTTGGATGGCCGGAAGTGAGGCTTAGGTCAGGGCCACGGCATGACACTGCCCGTTTCTTCGCCGTCGACCGCAGACTTCGCTCGTCTCGCACGCTCGCACGCTCGCTCGCTCGCTCGCTCGCTCGCTCGCTCGCTCACACGCACGCACGACGGACGCGATGCGGACTGCCCCTCACTGCCGTAAACGCGGCGCCATGACGTCACCCCGCGCACCGCGGCGGCGAGGACGGCGCGAATCGATGCCGGGCGGGCGCTGCGACGGCCACCCTTTCGTCGTCACCGCCACCACCGCCGCCGCCGCTGCCGCCGCCGCCGCCACCGCCACCGCCACGCCAGCCACCCCGGCGATAAGCGATAATCCACCACCGCGAGCTGCGCATGCGCCGTCGTCGCCCGCGCGAAACGCCGCCGCGCCGCGCCGGCCGCCGCAAGTTCGCGCGAGACCCCGCTGTATTACCCAGGGTTGGGAAGTGACTCGTTACTTAATTGTAACGGAGCTGTAGCTACTTTTACGTAGTAACTTTAGCTGGACTCCGTTACTTTCTCTCCATCTGTAACTGTAACTTAAGTCGGTTACGGAAATAGTTACTTTATACAGTTTTTAAACCTCCGCACAGATTACGCATTAGGCCCTGCGCTTGCGCACAAACGCCTTTGTCGATGCTCCACAATTAAAGATTGGGGATATTTAAATTTTCATTGCGAGAAAGCAACTACGAAGTAAACTGTAACTGCAACGCGTTACCTTTCAGAATCGGTAACTTGTAACTGTGACTGATTACATTTTTAGCGAAAAAAAAAACTGTAATTGTAAGTAGATACTTTCGGGCCACTATTTCCAACGTCTGTTAATTCTAACCGACCGTTAACTTCCAATTTCTACTGGCCATTCTAAGGCCCGGTTTCACCGACGTCGCTTAACTTTAAGCTCGGCAATTAATTCGTTCTTGAATTAAACCAATATTAAAGTTAAGCGACGTTTGGTGAAATGTCGGGCCTAAAAAGTTAACGTTCGGCTAGCAGCTAACAGACGTTGGAAATGGTTGGCCCTTTGTAGGGTAATTTTTTCCAACCCTGGTAATACCATACTGTCGTACGCTACTTTCGTTCTTCGTGACCTTGAACGAGGGCAGCTTGTGCGAATATTGCACGTCGCACGTGCAAGTCGTAACGTGATTATATTCCTTTAACGGAGACCCAACCGACGTGACGAAGACGTTGCCATTTGTTGGACATGTCGAATACTATGAGGATTGAGTGTCCCAACCGTTGGGCAACATTTTACCCTTTGGGCTCGATCATGAATCTCGTTCTTTAGCGTAAACTCGTGAAAAGCGAAAAAATTTCATTAACGATTTCAACATTTGGCAATAACAGTTTTTACTTTTCACGAATTCACGCTGGAGGAAGAGATTCGCGATCGAGTCCTTTGATTAACATCCTTTGTCTCTTCCTGCTGCTTATTTCTACCAATGCAGATTAACTTGGTTAATCTCGGTTTATTTCAGATCTTTTTCTAGTCCTAAAAATTAGAAAAAGACAAAAGGTAGTTTAAACCGAGATTCAACTTGGTTAATCTCGGTTTATCTCAGATCTTTTTCCAGTTCTAAAAATTAGAAAAAGATAAAAAGTAGTTTAAACCGAGATTCAAGTTAATCTGCATTGGTAGAAACGGACATAAGGGGAATAATTAGACAGAGATACAGGTTGTTAATCTAAAGGATAAAAATTATCAGACGTTGGAACAATCGGCCCTAAAGCGCGATAATTTACAGCAGTTAAAATATGACACCAGTGCGAGAATCGTTTCTGAAGAACGACTAAAAATACAACAGCATGTTCCGTTTAGCCATGGCCTCTGCTCTAGATACGAGGCTTTTTACATATGTAATTTTAAATAATGAAACTGGGTAATTTTAATAACGTAATCTACCAGAGATAAGAGTTTTTAGAAAGCCTTCCAAAGGTTACGAAAATAATCGGGTTTAATTATTTAAAATTGTATAGAAAGGGCCGGTTCCACCATCTCCGATTAATTTGACCGGCCGATTAAATTTCAGTGTTCCATTGGAATTGACATGGGACAATCGGTCCTTTCTAGGCAATTTTAAATAATTAGGCTAGATAATTTTCGTAACCTTGCAAGTCTAGTCAGGTAATTTTAAACAATTAAACTAGATAATTTTCGTAACTTTGGGAGGCTTGTTAGAGATAATTCTAAATAGTTAAACTAGATAACTTTCGTAACCTTGGAAGGTGCGTTAGGTAATTTTAAACAATTAAACTAAATAATTTCAACAATACAGTTTAGCTACAAGAACACTCGCTAAATTTGCCCTTTTTAAATTATTTCGTTATATCAAGCTTCAATGAGTTTATAATAATAATTTCGTTGGCAATTCGAGATACACCTATGGAGAGTGAGGAAATAGGTGCGGCTGTCCACAAAGTATTTAAAATTATCTTCCAAGGGGCGACAATACAAAGTTAGAAGAATTACTAGCGTCAGAAAAATTCCATCGATCTCCGTTATCAAAAGCAGCATTCTTCGGCTAAAGATACCGACGAGCACCGGGAGCAACTGGCGGGGTAAGTCCTAGGGTCGCTCAGTCGAGTGGTAGTCTGCGGTTGATAAGGGCATTCCAGGCGGTAACTTCGAACGCCTCGATTGGCGGCTATTTGGAGAGAACGCTTCTCCAACCGGAGCTCTCAACATCTTCGAGGATTGCCCCGGCCCACAGTTTCGACGTGGACCGGCACCGACGTCGTTCCTCCTTCGGCAGCCGAGCGCGGAGTAATAAAAAGTTTAAGTGACAAAACTTGCACGCCTCTAAGTGGGGAGCAAAGAGAGTGCGAGACTTGCGAGGTGACCGTTGAACCCGGGCAACTCGAGATCTTCCCGATCGCCACGAGTTTTTCAAGATTGTATCCACGTCCGATGGAAGATATATCGAGATCAGCTATCTGTCGTGCGACTTGGAAGTATTTTAATACTATAACTTAGGGGTTTCCCCTGATGAAATCCATGGCTCTTCCGCCTTTGCTCAAAATACGATAATTTGCCATGCAAGCCTCAGGATACTGGCTGCTGTTGCTCGCGGGTACCGTCTTCGTCTGCTGCTGCTTGTGGCAGAGCGGATTGATCAGTCGCTGGAGCTCCAACATGCACGCGGAACCGTTGATCCATCTCAACCTGTCGATTCCATCGTCGTCGTCATCGTCGTCGCTGATGTCACGTCGACCTCCTTTCAACAGGATCAGCACGAGGACCAATTCAACAGAACTACTCTCGCACGACGCCGCGTATCGCCGGAAATACCGGGGCGTCCTGTCCAGGTACATGCTGCAGCTGTACCACCGGCGTTCGGACGCCGACGCCGTCCGCGCGATCCAGCCGGCGCATACCTCCGGCCCGCTCAGCGACGGCGGTAGGATTCTGGAGTTCGCGATTCCGTCGGCCGACATCGACGAGATGCTGGAGACCGCGGAACTACTCGGGATAGCCGGCGCGATAGTCAGAGTGCGAGTGTTGAACGATTCGTCGGCGAGGAACGGAAGCGAGGAGATGCAGAGGACCAGGAAGGACGACGCCTGGCGGGCCTTCGACATCACGTCCGCCGTCGTCGGCAGGCAGGGCGGCACCGTCAAGCTCTACGTTCACGGCAGGTCGACGTATCATCCTTACGGCGACCGTCCGATCCTCCTGCTGAACTACAGGAAGGTCAACCGCGCCAGGCGCCGTCGACGATCCGTGGAGGAGCAGGAGGAGCAGGAGGAGCAGGAGCGCGCTTGGGGGGACGAGCTGCCGCGAAGACGACGCCGGAACAACTGCCACCGGCGTCCCATGTACGTGGATTTCGCCCTGATCGCGTACGACCGGTGGGTGATCGCGCCGACGGGGTATCAGGCTTATCAGTGCTCCGGTAGGTGCTCCTTCCCGCTGGGCGATCACCTCAGTCCGACCAAGCACGCGATAGTGCAGACGCTGATGCACAGCGCCTTCCAGTCCAGCGAGGACCTCCGCGGCAACAAATTTGTGGGCAGAGCCTGCTGCGTGCCCACCAAGCTGGAGCCTATTAGTCTGCTCTACCTGAACTCCGATGGCAGTCTGAAGTACGAGTACACCTACGAGGACATGGTCGTCTCCGAGTGCGGTTGTCGCTGACCAGCTGTGCGATCGATCAACGACCGCGCGATCGTGGACCTGCGGGCGAACACAATGCGTGCCTTTCGCATTTTATTACAATAGAATTAACGCAACGTTGCGCAGAAACGCGCGCACAAAATGTAGAATATAAGTGCAGTTGAACGTGGAGGGGACGAGAATACATCGTATCATGTGTAGTGTCAAAACGTCGGACAACCTTTCTGACCACGTCGGTACGTACTCGCGTACATACATGCATAGATACGGACGTTGTGCACAAACGACATTTTGGGACATTCCGAACACACGGCATCGATTTCTTGAAAAAGAAATTTATTTCACGAAAAACAAAGCTTCCTCTATGAAGCGAAGGAAAACAGTTTTGTGGCCTCCTTTACCGATAACACGTATTATAAAAAAAAAAACAAAGTCACTGAGCAGTCTTCGGTGTGCGTTAACTTAAATTCCCGAATTTCGCGCACATCTCGTTGTTCTTTCGATTGAGTCTGTAGGATCTGCCGGGCGAGTGAACCCTCGACCGGCGCGTCTTCCTCAGTTTGTGCCGGCTGCCGGGTATTCTCTCGATCTTGTAGACCTGATGCGCCACCGTGGTGACCGGCTGGCTCAGTCTCATACACAACGCCACCGGCCCGCTGAAGTCCACGTCAGTGGACAGCTCGAGCTTCGGCTCCATCGCCATCGTGAATTCCGCCTTGCTCTGCACGAAGCTCGTTTGCACCCTGGTTAGGCCGTGGACCATCACGCCGGCGTCCGTCTCGACCAGAGAGTGCGCCTTCTTCGACCACAGGCTCACCTGGATTTCACCGGCTAGCTCGAAGCTCACGGCGCCCTGAATGTCGATCTCGGCGACAAACCCCGAACCCAATGGCACGTACTCGTTATGACTGTACAAGGAGGCGAGAGCTTGAAAGGCGGGAGTCCTCTGGTCCGCTGTGCCAGACCAGACGTGACCTAACAGCTCGCCTTGGCCGGAGAAGAAGACGAACGGTCGTACCCCAACATCGAGAAAGTCAATCTCCATTCCAGCGGTAGCCACCTCGTCGTCGGCTTCCGTCTGTTCAGTCTGGCTCGAGGCGAAACTGCTGAGACCGCCGGCGAATAGTCCCAGCGAGAACATCGTTTGCTGTTGCTCGTTGCTTTCCAGAACGACGTCCACGATGCCGTGTTTCAGGATACCGGAATTCACTTCCTGGAAGGTAACCAAAGAACCGTTGGTGTCGGACGAGCGCAGGAAGTCTCTTGCGAAGGCGGTGCTCAGGCCTTGTTGCGCTCGTACGTGGTAATTGTTGAGCGTCACATTGCCGTTCGCGTACATAGTCCTCAGATACTCGGCGAATCGCTCGTCTCGCTCGGCAATTTGCTTCAAACGTTGACTTAGATATTTGCGAACTTCGTAGGCCGGGTCGTCGCTGCTCGAATACATCACGAAATCACGCAGAGCCTCTTTGGATGGTTCGTTGTCGAGGATAATGTCCAGCGCGAGCGTTCGCGCGCTGCTGTCCCTTCGCGGCACTCCGACCTGATAGAAAACCATGTGCGCCGCTCGCTTCATCTCGTCGGACACAGCTTCGCGCGGCAGGGCTTTCAGAGCGCGCCAGGCGGCGACGCTGATGGATTTGCTGCCGTGTAACGCGTGCTGCAGCAACGTGGGTACCGCCGCTGGGCTCTTCAGGTTTCGCAGAGCTCGCAGGAACTTGAGCTTGCACTCCTCACCGGTGCAGGTGTCCAGGCCCAGTTCCAGACTGACCCGTGCCTTCTCTATCACCGCGGCGGACCCGTAGTGCCGCGCCATCGCACCCGCCGTGAGCGCGTAGGTCTCGGACACCTTGTCATTCTGCATCGTCTCCTCGGAGCGTCTAAGGATATCTCCGGCAACCTCGACGTGCGGCGTCGGCGAGAGGGACAGCGCCCACAGATACCTCTCGGTCTCGTCGCCAGTCTCGTCCTGTCGCAGTATCTTCATGGCAGCTTGATGAGCGGGCAGGGTGGACGCGGCGCCGAACACATCCAGCAGCTGCATCTTTATCGGCTGATTACGTGGCGTCTTCAAGACCTTATACAACTCCTCGGGCGAGGCGTTCTTGACTAGAGGTAGAAGCTTGAGAAAAGCCGACGCGGACTTCGACGTGCCCAGCTCGGAAGCGGTGAGCACTCTGTGATATTCCTCGATCGTCCGGTCGATCTGCAATGGGACGAGCGTTGGTGAATTAGCACAAAATATAAATATTAATACGAGTTTGGACTTTATTCCGAAAGCTTTTCAAGCAGCCTTCGTATTTGTTAAAAAGGTCGAATGCACAGGCGATCTTTATCGTATAAAATTTTTACTAATGCCCAGCGAGAAAATGATCGATGTCGAAACTACGTCGATTCGACGAATCATTTCTGAGACTAGGTAATCATGAATATTCAATGTCTTATAAGAAACAATGTAAACTAATGTATCAACTGCGAAAGTCATTTATTTTTAATATACGTTAAAACATTATGAAATACTTTTCAGAGGGCCGTTAAAAAAGTGACGATTTCTGAAATTATTTATTTTTCCTGTAGATAACATTCGAAACCTTGGGTACGCAGTTGTAGATAATACTGCCTGATTGTCGGTGTGTGCCGTTATCGAGCCATTCTCTGTTTGTACAACAGATAGTTGTAGGTTTCTATCGTCTCCAAGAATGTTGGGGCAGGCGTAGGAATTTACCGTGGGACATCCGGCGTCGGGACATGTGGCGGGCACCGGTTGCAGCTCGATGCCAACATCTTTGTACTCGGGCTTGAGGAGCATCACCGCGTGCCTCGCGGAATTCGCCTGAACCGCGCTCGCGCTCAGGACCTCGGCCGATTGTCTCAGCGTTCTCTCCGACACGACGCTCGTGCCGACGTCGGACTTGGCCACCAAGGTCATCCTGTGCGCCTCGTAATCGGTCACGCTCTCCGGTAGCAGCGACTGCGTCAGCACGTACGTGGAATTGCGATAGCTCTCGAGACTGACGGCGAACACCGGGTTCGGATGCTGCTTCGGCGGCGGCAGCGTACCGTGCGCGCAGGCAGTCTTTCGTTTCTCGACAACGTTGTCCCCGGACGTCACGTAGGCCACGTGGCAGAGGCCGGAGGCGTCCCGTTGGCGCACCTCGTCGTCGAGCGTTCGGTACTGGAAGAGACTAGCTAGACCGCGCTTCAGGTTCGCGGACGACGCGCTCTCGGCCGGGTCCATGTACACAGCCTCGATGTCGCCGTGCCGCCAGAGGACGAAGAAGGGCCTCTCGGCGACCTCGTCCACCTTGGACGAGTGCTCGACGAAGCCCTCCGGCTCCGGGGCTCGTCGGGATTTGATCCACAATTGCGGTGAAAGTAACTAAAACGAAATTTCAGAATGTAGAATCCTATCTCAGGACTTTCCTCTATTATTAAAATGTTATTACAAGGATTCGTTATATATTCGAGAAGCTGAGTGAGCGAATCGACCTGACAACAGGGCACTCTCCATTCGTCGGCTAACGAATTTTTTACTCTCTAAAATAAAGACGTTGTTAAAATTACTTATAATAATTCAGCATAATTGTTTTGCTAATATAAATACGTTTTGCAGCAATCAGCAACGTTTAAAATTCCTCTCGATAAATCGATAAATAGACTTTAATCCTTCGACGTGTAGAAATGTTGTAACTCCAAAAGCTTTGCTACCAGCTGACTTATTAACAAGTTATTTTCAAGGCTCTTCTTGATGACTTTGTAACTCGAGAAGCGTTTTATCGCTACCGGATAAAGGGTTATCAATATCCATAATGTGAATCCGGCACGACCTCTTTCAATATCAACGAGCGCGCCGCCTCACCGCATTGAAATCTTCTGGGAAGTTAGGCGCTTTGTTTCGTGTACGAAAAGTTTTAAAGGCGACGCAGGTATAGACAATGAATATGCAAGTCGTGAAACGTCATCCGCTTATCTCTGGCTTTAAGTTCCGTCACTAACCGATTACAACACGTGCGGAACGAAGGTGTGTTAACACGGAAGGCAATACAATTAATCTTATTTTAAATAATTCTCCGCTTCTGTACGATACAAATGATTTTTCGAACGAAATAAATGTAACATCGCATTTTTATCGCCTCGTCTCATTTGTCATGCCGTCTTATTTACGTCAACTGCAATGAAATGAGCGCGATATGAGACACATTTCGATAGAGTGTCAAGAATCTGAATAGTTTTATAATAGACTTTCGAAAGTGAATCTGTGCATGCGATGAAATTATATAATTAAATTTGTATTTTAAGAAAAAATATGCAACTAGAGTTTCTCCTTCGCTTGACGTTTCTATCGTTTTAAGTCTGCAGCGTAAATATGCACATAAATGCACATCATTAGAAATTTACGTTAAATAAAAATCCCGCGATTAGGACACGCACATTTCGCTAACGACAAACGCGCATTGATACATTAATGCATTTCACGCTGTAATTATTACATTTATTTCTTTCAAAAGATCAACGCTTGCTCCTTTAAAAGTTATTTCTAACTAAAACAGACGCGCAAAGGAAGAATTGACTAATTCCCTCTCTTTATCTGCCTCTAAAATCGAAGCTGCGATGAAACAAAGGACGACTTGAACCGCGCTGAAGGCTATTCGCCGGTGTCGGCGACGAAGAGCCGCGCGAAGGGGATTCCGGCTCGCGGTGCTCCGTTTGAAAATAACGGCGGAGACGCCGTACTTGCCTCGAATTTAAGTAGAAAGACATTGGAGTCCTGCCACAGGGCTGCGACGCCCAGCTCGCCGGTGAGCCTGAAGCCGACGTCGCCCCCGGATTTCGGCGGCTCGGCCTCCCTGAAGATAAGCGTATTCGTCAGCCTGTATTTGTGGCCGCTTCCCAACTCCCAGCCCTTGGTGCCGCCGGCTACGGCTGCAAGTATCACACATAATTTCCAGCAGTTACGCGTTACCGCGCGACCGATCATCGTGGGGCTCCTGAGGTAGTTACGTTGCGTGTGCGAGCGCGCAGCGCACGTGGACCGGAGTGCTCGGCGACGTCGCCGATCGCGGGTCGCGCGTCAACTGACAACGACGACGCCGAACGACGAGGATCGCTCCTCTCCCGAGGCCGTCCCAGAAGAGACGCGCGATACGTGCTACATGTGCGGGGCACGCGTGTATGCGTGCGCGCGCGCGCGTGTGCGTAAACGGAATACCGTTAATTCGCGCGGAGTCCCTGTTACACGACGGGCGAGAATGGGCGCGTCGCGCGCGACCTTTTTAAACATTTTTTTCTCTTCTTTTTCGTTCTTCATTCAGTACTCCCGACCGATCGTGGCGCGACGCGAATTCTCTTTAAACGGCTCGCTCCGTTCTTTTTTTATCTACGACTCGACGATGGGAATAATCACCTGGTGCCATTCGACAGTAGGAACCTGTAAAAAAAGAAGATGCCCTCTTGTACTCGTCATCGAGCTATCATTTGTCAAGGTGTTCGATAGTCACAGGCACAGTCGGCTCGAGGTGGCCTCGCGGGAAGGAAAAGAAATGCACGAAATTTAAAAGCGCAAACTCTTTCGCGGTTGACGTGAAATAATTTCTTTCTTTCAAGAGGCTTCTTCGAGAACTCATTTACCTATCGAGACACATACCTGTGCAGGCCTTAGTCTTTTACATAGGATTATGCTAGTGCTGATATCATTGTTGGTTTTACTTATCGTGCCTCTAGATACGGCAAGGTAGCACACGAATATACACTTTTATGCTACGAAGTCCGACCGAATTTCCACAAAGAACCCCGTCCCAGCGAGAAACGACTCAAATTGACGTCGACTCGACACGAATTTCAACGGCGTTGAGTCATTTCTCGCTGGGGTCCAACGTAGATTCAACAACGTACAGAACCGACAGGCGGACACGCGCTCTCGTCCTACGCAGATTTCCCTCTGCGATTACACGAGCGACAGTCATCCCAGGAGTCAGCTCTTGCCCGGCCCTTCGCGAGGAAACGCCGGCCGCGAGACTAGAATTTACCGAGGCGGCAGCGCCGTACTTCAATGGACTGCCACGTCCCGGCCGGCTCGTACGGCGCATTTTTCAATGAATGACTTTAGGGAGACCGGGGGGAGACGAGGGGTCAGCGTGGACGAGCGGCGCGAGGGGGCGGCTCGCACGCCGACGGGGTGGGAGCGGGACAGGAAAGGCAGGGGGGGAAGACGGGCGTAGAAACCGCCGGGTAACTCACCGAGGAGCGTCCAAAGGTAGACCAGGCAGACGGCGAGCATCCTGGCCGTCCCGCCCCGAAGACGGCCGGCCATCCTCTATCACTCGCTCCGCGCGCTGTCGCTCCCGCGCTGCGTCCGCTCCGTTCCGCTCCGCTCCGCTTCTGGCCGCGCTTCCTCGCAACCTATGCGGGTAAACACACGAATAATTAGACGGGGCAGAGGCCTGCGTTATCGCGGTCCCCCCCGGCTCCCCGGTTCAGAAACCCCTGGGGCCTCCCCTCCCCCCGCGGTCCGCGAGAAGGGGGGGACTGACAGGGTCCTTCGCCTCGCGTGGTCCCCTCCTCGCGCGCGCGTGCACACACATTTACGCACGGCATCCGTAACGGACGCCCCGGAGGAAGAGCCGAGGATCGCCGGGCTTCCCGATACCGAGGACTTGGCTCCCCGCGCGGCTGTAAATCACGCGCGCGCGCGCGGAGCGTGCAATAACGCGATCGCTTGATAATTCGTCGCCAGCGCCGATGGCCGTGGGTCGCGAGATGCGTGCGGAGAAAAAGAGCCATTACGAGTGCGGAAGCCGGCCAATTTGTCCGATCCGGACTGACGAGTGCGCGCTATACCGAGTGTCCCCTATGTTCCTCGCGTCCCCCCGCGTTCTCGGCGCTTCACCCGGTCCGATGTGCAGGAAACCGGTTTTTTTTTCCTCGGCGGAGAAATTTCCTCCGACTACGCTCTCTTTTTTCCCCATTGTTTTCACCTCTCGTTAGAATTTTTCCGACGGTGCGAGCGCCCGGGTTAGCACCGTCCCTGCGAGAAATGACACGTCGAGGCGACGTCGACGTCGACACCTGCGCATCGACGTCGAGTCGACGTCAGTTCGACGGTACTGGAGTAGATTTTGACGTCGTTTCGACGTCGATCGACGGGTCATTTCCCGATGGGATCCTTTTCTAAACATCGCCGTTTTATCCGCGAAGAGTAAGCACAGCCCAGTGAGAAATGATTCGTCGATCGATGTCGAGGCGATGTCGAATCGATATCGACATCTTCAAATCGATGTCGAATCGACGGGTCATTTCTCGCGGGGAGAGCGCTTCCCGGCAAGAGGACACCGATTGACACGGCGTAAGAGAGTCATTTCATCCTTGTCTAGCAGTGGCAAACGACAAAGATAAAACGACTTATTGTCTTACGCAGTGTCGCCCGTGTGCGTTGGCTGGGGAGCGCCCGCGTAAAGGAAAATTTACTTACTTTCAGGCTGAAAAGCGTGAATGTTAGCAGTATTTTAATAGGTCCTATCTTCAAGGTTTGCTTGTCGTCGCTTGATGAAAAAAAAGAGCCTTCCGATAAAAATCTCTTTCCGCGTCGGTGTGCGCGGAGGCGTCGCCAAGATCGCGGAACAACGCGATTACGACAATCTGACGAGGCTCGCAACGAGTGGTCGCGTGTCCGTACTGCGAGGCTGCTAAGCGAAGCGATTCCAAGGTGCAAGTGGCGCGGGGACCCTAAAATAACATTTCGTTAAAGCGCAGTCCAGCCGGATCGCAGAAGACGACGGACTGATCGGAGCGAGGCGACTCGAGGGCCCGCGTAACCGCTGGGCGAAATGGAGAACGAGATAATACGCGCCATGGGATCTACGAGGCGACTGTCTGCGAAGGTCGAGAGCGACCGCGACAACAAACGAGATGTCGTCGCCGCTCCGTCGAAAGCGAGTAGTGACGAGCGTCCCTGGCAGCGTTCTTATCAATTACGCGTGGCCTCTGAACTCGGCGACTCCGATGGCCTCATTGACGCAGTCGTTGAGCTGATTTCGTAATTTCGATACCCGGTCCTTCGTCGATTCGTTTGCGACGCTGCACACGGCCGCTGATATGCCGTTTAACCAGTGAGAGCACGTCGAATCAACGTCGAATCGACGCCAATGGGGTCGAAACCGCGGCCCAACATCAGTTTTCGGAAATAATTAAAAGTTTTGGAACTTTTTTGTATTGAATTCCGTATTAAATAAGTTAACTTGGCAGTTCTCTGATGTTAAAAGTATTCAGAAAGTTGGACGTAGCAAGTTGATATGAAAAATTAAGTTCCAAAACTTGGTTATTTTCGAAAACTGACGGCTGAGACGCGGTTTCGACCCCATTGACGTCGATTCGACGTTAGTGTTCTCACTGGCTTCCGTTTATGCAATTCATAAATGACCTTTGACTCGGCGAGCAGCGGATAAGAAATTAAACGAATAAGCGCAAATTTCATGTAAAAGTTTAACGCAGGCTGTAACGTGCGGTCTAACAATTTGTTATTAATTTCTCGTTTAAAAGAAGAAAAAATTGTAGGGTGGTTTTAAGAGCGATTTAAATTTCTTATCTTTATTATTAAATTTTATTATATAGGTACATCTCGTGCACATTTAATTATATGTAAATTAATTACGCGTTTTTTTTCTTTCGCTTTCCCTTGTACGTTAGATTTTCTAGGAATATGTCTTTAAAATCATGAGATCGATTTGAAAATTAAAGAACTTGATATGTCGATATATAGAGCGTTCAGTTTAGAGCATATTCCTTCAGATGGCACAGCAATCCATTTCCTAAAGAAACGCGGTATCTTGTTTCGATAAAAATACGCTCTTTAAAAATATTTTTTGTGACAGAGTTCCTCCATCTCTCTAAAAATTAATTTAATTACTCGCTTGAAAATTTTACGAAAGCAAAATATCATTTTAAAAGATAGACATTGAACGCACTGGAAAAAGACGCTAACTAGCGTCGAAACTGCGAGCCACCTCTTCGGATCGATAAAATAAAGTTTGTCGGCAACTAGAACCAGCCATTGTATTTATACATATAATTTTTACATCGCAAAAAGATTTTTAATTAATAACAACATGCTTCATATTATTTCAAAGGGAAGTAATTATTATTTAAAATCAATAACCGCTTTGGTAAATATTTTTGTGATCAATCATAATTGTGTGTATAAATCCTTCCACAAATTATTACGCGTAGGAAGAACTTACCTTAAACCTATAAAAATTTTAATAAATTCGACAACTATAGTCTCGTTTAATAATTATTAATTACACAAAAATTGTAGAAACTGCCGCTAACATAAAAATTTCATGAAGAACGCGTTGACACGAACTTTCGAAACTACAATCATGTAAATTTTGCTAAAATTTGGTAGCATAAAATCATGCTTTCCCAGCCGCATCTATTTGTAATAATCGTTTTACGTGATTCCATCGGAAATATACGAAGCTTTACATTTCGGTTATACATTGCAATTTTGTCATAAGTAATTTTGCGAATCCAATGTATGCCATTATTCCATTTGTTATTGCATGTTATAATACGCGCATGAATAAATAAATGTATTAATTAGCTACTCAAATATACATAAACGAGCGGAAAGAGCGGAAATATCGATAGCGTCAGATAATTGGGCTCTTTTCATGCGTTATTTCTTTGGACCAGCGTGTGAATATTCTTGCAGGAAAATGGCAAGAGTGAGAAGAAAGATGAAATCTTACGTGACGTCTGCGCGTTTGTATAAGCCGTTTGGGAAAAGACAGGCCGATTTTTTAGACGAGTGATATTACAAGAATATTATTGCAAAGAAGGTGTGTACGGCAGCTGTGAAAAATAGCAGGTGCTAAAAGCAATATGGTTTTATTAATTGCTGATTGTAAAAGAATTGCAACGTAATTCTTCTTTTAAACATATGTCACGTAATACCTTACAAGTTCTTTCATTCTATAAACCCCAATCTACAATGCGCTCTTTACATCTAGAAACATTCATTTTATATCAGCAAGTCAAAACGCTTAAAAACTTTGTCGACAACGTACGATTGTACAATGTACAATTTATCAACTTGCGCGAATTTTTTAAACGTATTTATTGGCTACAAAATAGAATGTTCCTAGGCGCAAAGAGCACAGTGTAGATTAGGCTCTAAGGTCACATAGCAAGTATAGCATTAAACTTTGTTGCCTGTCGTATTTATAACATTGCGATCGTTCTAAATGAAATCTTCTCAACGGTGTAAAAAAACATATTCGTCACACGTAAGACCTTTGTTCTCCGCTAAACGCGTGCGAAAGTACTTTCGCGACTTCGTCTCCAAGTTACTCGTGCGGCACGAAAGCGCCAATTTCGCAGTTTGAGATATGAAGCGATACTATAATTTTTTAAGCGATTGTCGCAAACTTCCCTCCCGAAACTACCCTGCGCTACAAACCTGCGGAAGTAACCGTTCGGAAGCCGCAACGGACGAACGAACGAACGAACGAACGAACGAGCCAACGAACGGGCGAATGAGCGAGCGCGAGCGCGCTAAATAATCATAACTCAGAGAGACATTTGTAACGCCAGCCTCTCGCTCGTATTTATCGCTGTTGTTGGACGGTTTGTTGCAGCAATAACGGTAATGGGCCTCCCCCGCCTCCGGCCTCTCGCATCCCCCTCCCTGCGTCTCCACCACCGTCCCGACCCGGTCTCACTCTCTCTCTTTCTCTCTCTCTCTTGCCTCACCGGCCACCCCTTGCCGAGCGATTTATCCTTGGGTAATTAGCACGGGTAATAATTAATGCGGCCGCGCATTGTGCTAATTATCAGCGAGAGAACCTTTTAAGAAATGAAAGAACATTCGAAATAAAACAGGGCGCCGCGAGGACGGTAAGGGGGTAGGCGAGGGGTGGACACGACGGTAGCGGCGAAGAAGACCAGAAGGAGAGTGTGAGAGAGGGCGGAAGAAAACGGACCGAAAGGAGAAGAGGACTGGAGAGGGGAGGGGGGGAGTTCTCCGTGACAACTACGCGTGTTTGTACAGGGTGAGACTTGGTACCGTCGAAACATTTTAATCATAAATT